ATTATTCATTCCTCGCTTCATCTAAGCATGAACGTCATGAGCAGGAAAAGACCCTACTGACCATGAGTTTCCACAGAACAGTTTTTACTCCCTTATGCTTCGATTTGTTTTTATTCATTGTTAGCTTTGAGTGTTGTTCTATTCTCTTTACTGTTGTCTGTAGCTCTTGCCCCGTACTCTTGCCTAGTATCCTTGTTCCCCTTCTCTGCCTGCCCAATTCCTGCATCTGGGCTCATCTCCAGCCCTATATAACTACACTCCCTAACCAATCAGCATTTCAGTCTCTCCTCCGTCCCGGGTCCTAAACCAGCATCACATCGTCCTCCCTTTCCATCCACCACCCTCCTCTACTCACGTTACCCACCGCTCGGGGAACATTTCCCAGCGTTCGGCGGCGGCATCACTGCAAGCGGTCGCCAACGGACACCCAAAACAGCATTGGTGTGACACCAGCAGGGAAATGAAGATACTTTACAAAAGCGGCCGAGCAGAATCGAGTTTTAGTGATCGTCCTCCGTCGTGGACACGTCACAACTGACCGGTTGCATCAAATCGGCGTGGAATGGTAAATACTGAAGCTTGGCGATGTGTGGGCTGCGACTCCCCTTGGGTTATAGATGGGTCTGAGCTGGCAGCTGCAATTTGGGTGACGTAGTAGCGGTAAAGATGGATGGTGGTCGGGAATGCTGGTTCAAGTAACAATGTTCGTGAGAGAGGGGAGAGGGCTGGAATAATAACTGGAAAGTAGCAGAAACCCTGCTTGGAGATGGAAACTGGAAACAGGAAGCAGGGTTTATGGGGGAGTCTCAGAGTCGAAGGAGTTAACTGAATAAGAATATGATGCTATATGATGGTGAATAAGAATATAGCAATCTACAACGACTGGAGCACGAACGATAATCGCGCAACACCAAAAAAATTGTCAAACCGAAGATTTGCTTCGGGATCATTTGGAAAATAATGGGAAAACGTGTACTCGTGCTCTTTCTGTTTTTGATTTCTTCAAGCGCTGTTATCTTCGAATGCAAATGTGCCAACGTTCCAAATTATTTGTTTATTGGTGAGATTCTGGACTGTGAATGCAACGCATGACTTACACAACACTCGCACCTCCGTTTTCCCTCCCTCTAAAATCTCAGGCGTACAAAAACCCGAAAGTTGCATACGATTGTCATTGTGTTATCGGCCCCACCAAATCTACAAACCAGTGCTTTTTGTGCAAACCGAATGCACATTGCGCATCGAGCTAAGTCAATTTTAATAGCGGCCATTCAAAACTTGCATTGTTCTATTGATGCATTCAGAAGGCAGTACACTTTGCGGAGTACTGGAAAGCACCAGTCTTGTTGTACTCAGCATCAGCATACCAGATGCAAGAAGAAACAATCCCTCGTTATTCTATTTTTTAAAAAGAGTCAAAACAACAGATATAACAATAAATTAAGTGCGATGATTTTCAGTAATATCACAGTTCCGTTTTAACATACTTCGGCTTCAATTCTTCAATCCTAGCAACGTATTCCGACTTCTCCGTACATCCCTTACATGCCTGAAATCTCTTTCATGCATCACTACCGCCACCGGTATTCCTTCCATAAAGCGATTTACTCAAAAAATCGGAATTTTTTACAGT